AGTAACCCAAACCCACGCCAAACCCACGTTAAACCCACGCTAAACCCACGCCAAACCCACGCCAAACCCACGCCCACTAGTAACACAAACCCAGGCAAAACCCACGCCAAACCCATGGGTTACTAGTTGGTGTTACTAGTAACCCAAACCCATGGGTTACTAGTTGGTGTTACTAGTAACCCAAACCCATGGGTTACTAGTGGCCGTAGGTTTTGAAACCCACGCTAAACCCACGCCCACTAGTAACCCAAACCCACGCCAAACCCACTCCAAAGCCACACCAAACCCACGCCAAACCTACGCCCGTTAGTAACCCAAACCCACGCCAAACCCATGGGTTACTAGTGGGAATGGGTTTGGAGCGTGGGTTAGGGTTACTAGTGGCTGAGTGGTGCATCGCCCCACGGTGGTGCTGCGGTGGCGCCTGGCGCATCCCCCCACGGTTCATCGGATCACCCCTGGCTGCCACCGCCCCTGTCGCGAGCAGCGCAGCATCCACTGGTCCACCACGGTCATGCAACCGCCCTCCCGGATCCGTCACACGCCCCTGCAGATGCTCAACAATCTGCCCCCGTGCCTCGTCTCGGGGAACATGCGGTTCATGGGGTGCCTGCTGAGGAGGTCCCCGCTCCGGTGTCCGATTTATCGCCGACCCCGATTCCGACGACGACCGGTGGTGGTCGGTCTGCCCCACAGACTCCACCCGTGTTGACCGGATCGTTAGACCCTTTGCAGCGCATTCGCGACCTTGCAGGTCGCCCAGAGCGCGGCGCCTGTGAGTCCTAGCGGGTTGTTGGATGCCGGGGTCCTCGGCGGGAGAGCCACGACGGGACGATGTCGGGGCACTTACAGGCAGCAGGCCGTCACGTCATATTATTTGGACCCTTTGGAGCACGCGTGGCATTTGCAAATCATGCGGTTCATCATCGAGAGCGGGATGCCGTTCAACTGCTCGAAGCTTGAAAGCTTCAAACGCATGTTCACGATGATAATCCCGCCGGGGGTTCCGGGGGCGGCCGCGCCTAGACTTCCCTCCTACCACATGCTGCGCACGACCCTTTTGGACGAGCTGGATGGTGAGATTCAGAAGTGTGTTCGGCCGGTGCTTGACACGTCGAGAGAGACCGGTTGCATAATCATGACCGATGGTTGGACCAACATCCGTGGCCAGACGTTGTGCAACTACCTTGTTGGGACAGAGATCGGGGTAGTGTATGTCGCCACCGACGTCACGCGCGGCAAAAAGGACGCCAGTGCCCTCGCGAACGCCTGGTTGAAAAGGGTGAAGTCCATGGACATTCAATTGAGCGACATCACAGCGTTGGTGACGGACTCCGCCGAGGTGAACGTCGCGGCGATGGAGGTATTCCAAAAAGATGAGAGCGTGAAACACATCTTCTGGATTCCTTGCGTCGCCCACGTCATGCACCTCATTCTCGAGGACATCGGCGGGATTGATTGGGTCGCTTCCCGCATTGCGCAAGCGAGGCTGGTTACACGGTTCTTCAAGCGTCATGGACATGCGAGAGAGGTTCTTGAGGCGCACTCGACGAAGACTCTTCTGCTACCGGCGGAGACGCGTTTCATCACTAACGTCATCATGATGGAGAGGTTCGTGGAACTGCGGGCAGCGTTGACAGATGTTGTGGGCGACGATCGCTGGCGTGAGACTGTTTGGTCGACCAGCTAGATCCGCAAGGACGCCGTGGAGGTCACTGCGTGTATCGGCTCCCCTCCATGGTGGGAGGATTCGAGAGCTCTGCGCAAGATGCTCGAGCCCATCATGGACATGCTGAAGTTGGTGGACAGCAACACACGCCAAATCAGCAAGATTCTGCGACGGTACGAGGAGATGATTGCGTCTTGTTTATCTGCATGTCGTGACATTGATCGGGACCAGCAGGACGCTATTGTCGAGGTTTTCATCAGGCGGCGCACCATGTTCGAGACCCCCGCCCATACAGCAGCCACGCTGCTAGATCCAGAGTTCCGGGACGCGACGCTGTGTGACGATGCGGAGGTGCAACCGGCCTTGGTCGAGGCCCTGGTACAGTTCGGTTACTCGGAGGGATCGCCTCAGCACCAGGAGGTCCAACGAGCGGTCGCCAAGCTCCACACGAGGGAGCCCCCTTTCGATGAGCTCACCATGCGGCGAGCTGCGGATATCTTTGATCACCCTGCCAGTTTTTGGTCCTCTAAGAAGGGGAAGTTCCCTCACACGACTGTGTTTGCAGGCAGGATCCTTCGTATTTGGGCGACCACATCACCGTGCGAGAGAGCCTGGTCTCGTTGGAGCTTCATTCATTCGAAGTCTTGCAACAGGTTGGAAGTTCCTCGGGCTGAGAAGCTTGTGCGGTGCCAATGGAACCTTAGGCTACTCGATCGACCTTCGTTGTGCGACGATGGTGTTGGGGAGAGGCCCGGCGTCTTCGGGAAATGGGTGCATTATTGGCAGGCCATGGAGGACGAGGCGGCCGTGGACCAGCAGCTCGTTAGAGGCACCGGTGCGCTGGCCAGGGTGACTGAGGAAGAGTTGAGCATCGCCAGAGAGAGGATGCGAGCCGTTTCCCGCATGGGAGCCGAGCGTCGGGTGGCGGAGTCGGACAGGAGGCGACGCAGGGCCGGTGGTCGAGGACGTGGCGGCCGTGGACGAGAAGGTGTCGGAGAATGGACACGTGGCGATGTGGGTTCCGCTCCTCGGACTCGGCGACACCGGACAGAGGGTTGCATTCGCAGGGCCCGGGTGCGTTGGGACGAGGGTGACTTCTTGTTCGACAACACATCCAGCGACGACGACGATTTCTTTGCGTCGGGAACACACGCATCCACGGGCGATGATAGAGGTGACGCTGACGACAGAAGCGATGACCGAGGCGACGGTGATAACAGAGGTGATGATGTAGGGCCCGGGGGAGGTGGAGGGGGAGGGGGCGGTGATGGAG